CTCGCCCGCTCTCTCTCTCTCTCTCGCCCGCTCTCTCTCTCACCCTTTCTCTCTCTCGCTCTCTGGCCCCTTTCTCTTCTCTGGCGCTCTCTGGCCCCTTTCTCTTCTCTGGCGCTCTCTGGCCCTTTCTCTTCTCTGGCGCTCTCTCTGCCCCCATTCTCTTCTCTGGCGCTCTCTCTGCCCCCATTCTCTTCTCTGGCGCTCTCTCTGCCCCCATTCTCTTCTCTGGCGCTCTCTGCGCCCTTTCTCTTCTCTGGCGCTCTCTGACCCCTGTCTCTTCTCTGGCGCTCTCTGCCCCCTTTCTCTTCTCTGGCGCTCTTTGCCCGTGCTAACTGCACCCTTTTTTCTCTCTCACTCTTTACCCGTTTTGGCTCATGCTCTCTGCGCTCTTTTCATCCCCTTCTCACCCCACTCTTTCTCCCCCACCCCTCCTCTTCTCTAACACACAGGGACAGGGAATGAGGTGAAATCTCCCCAGTTATATCTAGACAGCAATGAGAGCTTGATAGAAGTATTTTTTTCTTCAAATGCCTATCCAAATAACTCAGTTTTGGCTGGAGTTTGGTGTTAACAAACATAACAATGTTCTTCTTGTTTTTTTTTTTGCTCAGGAGGACAGTCGGTCCTGCCGTTTGCATGTGACTGAGTCAGACTCTCCGAAGATGAACGTTACCAAGGGTGGCCTGGTGCTCTTCTCTGCCAATTCCAATGCTTCGTGCATCGAACTGGCCAAGAGGATCGGAGAGTAAGTATGACTGTCCTTCCTCTATAATAGGCCGCTCTCTCTCTCTCTCCATGCCTGACCTTGGAACGCTTGAGTTCTCCTTGCGGCCTGGACGCCATCCTAATGATTCCAGACTTGGGAAATATTGGGGCGAAGTGTTAATAACTTTCCATTATACTGCAGACACGATTACCCGGCACTGACTAATGCAGAGTGATTCATCATATTTATTAGGCTTTCTGTATGGATTGCAGTGTTCCAGGGTCGTATTTGCAGACGATTCAGGGATTTCAATAACATCTTTAACTACATTTGCTCGTTCTTTGTTTTTTTTGTTTTTTACCTAGGGACAAATGACCGCCCCTGGACGCAATCTGTTTAGCTCTAGTGTCGGACATCTGTCCCTAGCTGCCGGTATTCGCTGAATGTGTGGATGCATGTAAACAGCAGTGGACAGCTTTGGCTCCTGTCAGCCGGTTATTGCTAAGGAAGGGCTTCCCCCGGCCACAGCTATTCGCATACACCTGCTGTCTGCAAGCCCGGGGTCTGGCGCCCTGACCATTAAAGTGGACCGATCATTAAAATTCACAGATATCAACATGGCAAAATAATATTAAAGTATTACTTTCTTGCCTTGAATTAAAAAAAAATAACTTTAGGTCTTTGATGTGATCCCAAGTCTAGGCATAGATGACCAGGTCTCTGACTTAAAGGAGAACTTTCACATAGGACGCTAGTTTGTGTCCTCCCGTTACCCTAAGGAGAACTATGGGGAAAAACACTGACCCCATAGTTCTCCTTTAAGGACTGCAGGCAGTCTGATTTATTTTCAGTTAGACATAGCCAGGCTAGTAGACTTGATGTGGCATAAGAGGATCAGCAGAGATCAACCAGTGCACAGGTTTACCATGCAGGAAGCAGAACCTGCATATGTAATATGGATGCCCTTGTTTATATATAATATATATAATTTCACACTAAATAGAGGAACACAGAATTTACATGGTTGACATGTACTGATAAAAGTATTTACATTAAAGCCCGGTTGAAGTTACAGAACCAGACCTGCAGTTCTATAGACATTGTACTAACAACATCAGTTTTCACTGAAGGAGTTACTTTTTGTCTTGAATTCCTTCACTTCCTGTGCCTAGGCACCCCCTGTGCATTCGTCCTCATAGCTGTATATTTGCAGTGTGAGATCATCTACATCTGAATGTTACTCTCTCCAGTTGCAAAACCCTGCCTCTACCAAGATGGCTACTTCCACATAGAGACACAGTGGGGAGCAAGGCAGAGTAAGAGAGTAATGGGGGATGAGATAAACTGAAGTGAGTCCATAATCAACACTGGTCAGTGGTCCTTTGCCCTCTGCTTAAATGGGAAATTTGGCAAGCGCACTGCCAGTGTGTGGTGTTAGGATGGTTGGCGGAAACTGTAAATGTGGCTATTTTACCCGATTTGGCATTCAGGGCATTTTTCATGTAGATGAAGTCTGTTACAGGCACTGTTCTTGCTTTTGGCACTGGGGGTGGCTTATGGGATACAAGGTGTTTGGCGTGCAAGCTCATGAAACAGGCAGAGGTGTCCTGTGTAGTACCATAAAGAAAAGAATAGAGAAGAGCGCTACCACCTAACACAATGGCCAGTATTAGAACATGATTCTGTACTGATCAATGGATCTAAATAAATTATTTCCTTTGCCCTCTGCTCGCCTCTATTGGGCACCACTTTCACAGTACAGGTTCTCTTTGACTGGTTGCAATGAATATCTGAAGATTGCATGGCCCTTGCTATTAATGTGCTTTATTTGTATTATATTTTGTGGGGTTCCCAGATACTTTAACACCCAGATGTTTGATTGTGGAAGTTCTGATTCCACCTTTTACTAGTGCCTGGTGTTTCAGCAGAAGAGATGTTTCTAAGAGTACAATGAAAATTGTTTCAGTTGATCACGAGTCAGGAATAATTGCTCATTGTTTCCTTAATAGCTAGAATTGAGTCTGAAGTAGGACCGGGTATTATGTCATCACTTTTTGCTCTACTGCACTAAGTATATCTATATCTGTATCCCTGAGATGGAGTGAGAGAGTGCAGTAGTGGCATTGCTTAACCCTTCCAGACTGGGAATGCTTTGTTAAATGACCAGCATATTCCTTGTCCAGGTTAATTGCCAATATTCAATATTGTAACTATTCCACCGAGTTCTCCCGCTCCAACTAGGGGGGTTGGGGAGGATGAATATTACATGAAGTCAATTTGGTGATGAAAGGTTCACTTTTTACCCATATTTTTCCTCTTTTTTTAGGCGTCTGGGTGTTGAACTTGGCAAGGTCCTGGTGTACCAAGAGTCAAACAGAGGTGAGTCGTCTCCACCCGTGCCCTCTCCTGCATCCTGTTGTACAGTTTGCAGACTCATCTGTGTCTAGGTGACTAAGTGGTAAAACTGGTAAATGACTAAGTGGTAAAACTGGTCGTTGTATATGAGAAAGCAACTTTGCCGCTCATAGCCACCACTCATATTCCTACCATTGTGTTCTATGCTGCACTGAAAAAGACACTTGGATGCCCCCTTTGCTTTACTCTGTCACCACTTTATTCATTTGCAAGAAGTCACCTGAGTATGGAGGGGAATGTTCCCCCCCTCGCATGTTACTGCATTGGACTTTGTGATTTGCACTGTTCTGTCACATGACGGCAAAGGAAGAGTCTTCAGCTCTGTGTAAGCTCCAACTAAAGAGACTCGGAGATTACACGGGTCTTTTCTTGCTCCCAATGGCTGAAGGGAGCAATAGGAAGGTCATTTTGTGCTACTGGTAGGACCAGCATAGTCAAAGCATGGGTTCCTTTTTAAAGGCATAGTCCACCTTTCATATAATGTTTCATATTGCACCCATATTTAGACTATAAAACAATCTCCGCATAAACTGCACCAACTTCCAACAAATTACCTGAATCACGGAGTGCGTCTCCCTGAAGAGACGTAGCTTTGTATGAATTTGGCGGAGCTGTGCGTGGCTCCACCCTCGTCCTTCATTCTCAGGGATCTGTGAATAGTAAGCCTACAAAAGCCCATGAACCCATCGCCCTCCTGAACGCTTGTTCCACTAAAGACAGGATGGGTGCTGCGGTAGGATGGCAACCGTTACATGCATAGGTAGAAACAGGGACGCCGGCACTCCAAATGCAATTCAAATACATCTATTGACGTGGGTGCAGCATATCACACTGATGCAATGTTTCCGGGTCTCGCAGGATCCCCTTCCTCAGGCAAGGCATGTCTTTGCCTGAGGAAGGGGATCCTGCGAGACCCTGAAATGTTGCACCAGTGTGATAAGCTGCACCCACGTTGGTAAGCCTACAAGTCCCGACTGCCTCCACGGCAGAGGGAATCTCCAGATCACGCCGCAAACAGGGTGGTGATATCACACCAATTGTAGTTTATTGTTTACTTCCTCCAGCCCCATGACAAACCATGCAGGAGCCTGTGTATTGCACCCATGATCGCTGTTGCAATGATCTGCAGGCTCGAATGCAAAAATGTAATTAATGCAAATGTTTTATTTTATTATGTGGGTGCATTTATTACATTTTTGCAAAATGAGGTTCTATGCCTTTAAAGCTGAATAGGAGGCAAATGCAAACCTTCTCGACATAAGCCTGCAGAATGATTGCAGTGTAAAAGGGAATAATCTTGATTCTAGCATAAGCCCAGACGTGATTTGTTCTCCTTAGATAAGTTTGTCAGAATCTTAGCACTGCCAGAGCTCAAGGTCTTTTATGTGTCCTTCCTTTTCGAAAAGCTTCAGGGAGACGCATTAACCCCATTAGCATATTGGGAAATTACGCTCGTAAAAAGACGTAAAGCAATCAATATTTAACAGTAATCGCACTGTCACGTTGGCATAACCCCAAGGAACAGCTGTCCGCTGGATATGTTTAATCTGTATAACGAGGCCGACGGTCTCCTTCATTAGTAAATGAATATGATCCGTCAGTGCCCCTCCCATCCATCCTCATGACCCTACTCAAGTGTTAGGGTTTGTCCTCGAGTTGTTGGGTCCCGCCAGTGTTGTGACCTTGATTTGAGGATTGTACAGTCTGGCAGAACCGAGGGACCCAATTGTCCGTCCTCTGGCTTCGACTGTTGTGGCTGTGTGACTCCAAATCAGAAGTACTCATCCCCGCTAATCTTTCTGGCAGCCCGCTATCTCTGTTGTTTTTTCACATGCTGTTTTTCATTTTCTCGATCTGTGCACATTCCAGGAACATAGCAAGAGGAGCAAAGTTATCCGTCTTCACTCAAACGCACCAAGCACACACCTTCTGCCCACTCAGTTATTCCCGTGCTTTATTTAAAGTGGACCTCAAGTTAAAAAGATTTGCGATTTTATAGAGGAACATTTAGGAATGCTACTTGTGTCCAGGAAGTGTCCTTATTTACCTTTTTTGTTTTGACTTCCTCCTAAAAATAGCAGTGTACTTCCTGTGCTTACACAGTCCTGTGCCTTGAGCCTCATTGCTTAGTGTGAGATCATCTAAGGCGCTGCTGCCTCTTGCTGGTAGTCCCGGGAGATTTGATGATGTCATTACTGTGCTGCTCATTGTTCTCTTTGCCATAGAGGAAGCTGTACCTGAGGACCTGCAGTGCAAGGATCTTCCTGCTTTTCCTTCATCCTTTCTGTAGCTCTGTGCTTCCTCTACCACTCTTTCTGCTTCTTGGTTATTACATCAGCAATCATCAGATTGTCCCTGACAAAAGGGAAGCGAACCCCCCTGCCTCTACCAGATGACCACCTCCACATAGAGACACAGTGCAGAACGAGGCATGGTTTGTTAGTAGTAGGGGTAAGATCAGTTGCCGTGAGCCTGCAGGCAATACTGGTGCCTAGTCCTTCGCACATCACAGCACCCTGCCTTAGCACTCCCCTCAAGAGCCTTCTGATGCAAGCAGTGGGCTAGCTCTTGTGAGTTAAACTAATATCAAAATACTTTGATTGGTGGTTGTCAGTCTGGAGGAGTGGAGGTTCCTAGGTTGGCTGTATTTGCATGCAGACCTACCTAGGTAATGCCCACATGTGATGCTGAGCCTCCACGGTTGAAAAACTAAAAACCAATGAATGAAAGGAGTGGGGCCAGGGGATGAAATAGCTAGATGAGGCTGGGTGTCCTCCAGCCAGGTAATGAGGCGGGTTCTATCTGACTTGCTGCAGCTTCTAATGCACATTGTGAGAAGCTCACAGCATGCAGTGAAATCGGAGTAAGCAATGTCAGTCCAGGAGAGGAGCCGGTCCCAACTGTGCAAGACTGAAGGGAAAGCTTTAGCCGTCACCAGGACAAACAGAGAGGGTGAATCTCCCCAGCAGGGGCACAGATTTGTCTAAAGCAACATTTTTTAAATCAAAGCTTTTTAATATGAATATTCTGTAATAGTTACACATTACAAATCCCTACCAGCATCCTACTTGTGGTATAATATGTTCTAATTTCATCATTGTGAAACGACTTCTCTCTTTTAATACCGCAGAAACCCGCGTGCAGATTCAGGAGTCGGTGCGAGGGAAGGATGTGTTCATCATACAGACGGTTTCCAAGTGAGTGTCCACTACCTCTGACACCCCCCCACCTTCCATTCAATGACATAAGCATGTGCCTGCTAGGGGTCAGTGATCCGTAGTAACACCTTAAAGTGGACCTTTACCCCCTTGTACTAAAAATCACATCAGCGTGCAGCTCTGCATTCTGATATAAAATCCTCTTACATTCATTAGTTAAACAAACGTGTTTTTCATTTACTTACAAATAGAGTTCATCTACTTCCTGGTCCAGTTCTGGCACAAATGTTGTAAGTGCCAAAGCGTTGCATCCTGGGAAGGCTACATCAGCAGAGCAATGCTGGGAAATCTCATCTGTAATCTCATGAGATCTCAGGGAAAAGCATTTTCCTCCTCTGAGATGATGTGCATGGTCACATGTCCTAGTCACATGTGCCAGAGTTCCAGGAGGTAAATGGAGAACTAGTAATCTGCCCTTAGTTAATATGGCCACTGTCGGAAGACTGGGAAATAAAAGAAAAATAAAGTATGCAAAGAATAAAAAGCCGGCAATTATCTAGAAGGATGTGTTTTGTAGATTGTCATTACTAAACATTTCTAAAGGTGTGCTTGTTGTTATTTTAAAGATATGGGTAAAGCTCCTCTTTAATCTGCAATACATGTAGACGTATGCCTTGCTTTGTATTGTATCAGCTCATTTATTGGGAATCTGTCAAATTTAGCTGTGACCTGACGCATCTGAGAACATCATTATCAGACGCTGGCTCTGTGCCGACAGCTGATCGATCGTGCGACCGCTGCTTGCTCAGTTACCAGGCTTCTCCCTGCAGAGATTGGGGTCTCCCTGCAGGGATTCCCACACCCCCTTTCCATTCCTTCAGAGCTCATTGGAAGGACAGACAGGGGAGGGGGCGGACACAGCTCGCTCTGGCTCTAGAGAGGCAGAGCCAGCTGTCAATCAGGCAGCTTGGTGGATCCCAACAATATTGTCAGGATCCTTCCCGGCTGCAACAGGGCTTTGTGCTGTCAGCATATAGAGGGCAGTAGCTCACTATAGGCTGACTTTGGGTCACAGGAGGACATTAGCAAATGTATTCCTTTTGAAGAAAAAAAAAAGAGAGGTAAAGGTTCGGGTTTACTTTTCTGTTTACTTTTCTTTTATTGTGTATTTAAGCCAAAGAACAAAAATGTATTATGTTGCAGATTACCGTTCCTTAGATGTGGGGGCTGTGTTAGCTTTCAGTTATGTTTGGCATCATGTCTCACTGTGTACAGTTTTCTTAAAGCGTTAGTCCATATTTCCAACTCGACTCCCCTATGTATTCCAGTATCCCCAGCACATTACTCGTTGCTCAGCTTTTGAAAAAGTTGCTCCTTTTGCCTACCATACCTGTTGGCTGTATGCAGCTTGTCTTCAAAAATTCCCAAGTAGATGCCCTCCTTCGCCAGGACGCACTGAACGATAGAAGTGCACCCCCTGCTAGCGTTCTGGCCCATGCAAACACTGCACAGTGCATCTCTCTCCCTCAACAGAGGCTGAGCTCTGCGTTGTGCAACAGAGGGAGAGAGAGTGCACTGCTCATGCTGTATGATAAAAGCATGCCCCTGCCAGTGATCTGGCTCATGAACTGTGCCCTCTCTTCCTCTATAACAGCAGCTGTAGAGCTCAGGTTGTGTTTGGGGAAAGGTATGGAATACAAGGTATGATTTACACGGCTTACAGGTATTATTATTATTATATAGGATTTATATAGCGCCAACAGTTTGCGTAGAGCTTTACAATATCAGGAAGACATTACAATCACAATACAATTCAAGACAAGATGGTAAGGAGGGCCCCGCCCTGAGGGCTTACGATCTAAAAGGGAGGGGGATGTGATACATCAGGAGGTAGGTATGCAATACAAACACTGAACAGTGGTTTGCAATGCAATTGGAATACTGGAATACATGGGTTATTTTGTTGGAAGTGGGCCTAAAGGTGAACGAACCCTTTAAAGGAGAACTATGGGGTTAAGTCTTTTCCCCATAGTTCTCCTTAGGGTAACGGGAGGACACAAACTAGCGTCCTCCCGTCACCCTAGGCTCAGTAGCTCGCGGTATACTGAGACGCCGCAGCTGAAGCGGATCCCGACAATTGTGCCGGGATCCGCCCAGCTACGTTAGTGACAGCTGGCTCTGCCTGTCTAGAGGCAGAGCCAGCTGTACCCGCCCCCTCCCCTGTCCAATCCACCAGTCAGCCCTGGCGGATCGGAGCGGGGAGGGGGGGAATCCAGCCCCTCCCCTGTCACGGCAGAGAGCCGTGACAGGATCGAGAGGTGAGCGAACCCGGTATGTGTTCGCTCACCTCCCGATCTACTGAGCCGACCTGTGACAGTCTCATGGTCACAGGTCGGCTAGAACTATGAGGTGAGTGAAAAGCACTCACCTCATAGTTCTCCTTTAAGCCAATTTTTTAAAATCTGTTGCATACATTTCTTGCTTTGAGATCCTAACAATGTAATTGGTGCCCTTTAATCCCGAATGACGCCAGCGCGCAGCAGCTCTTTCCCTTGACATTGACTGATCCTCGAGTTCCTGAATTTTGTTTTTTGTGCTCCAGTGGGTTACATAGCGCAGCAAAACGAACCCACATCATTCACATTCCACTGAGACACACACGGGTCCTACTAGGCTAGCAGAGAACAATAAAGCTTGTGTTCCGCAGTCTATTTTTGATGCTTTTTAGAGGTGCTTCGTGATGACATTGAGTGTTCAACAAATGTAAATGCATTGAACATTCCCTCGTTTGTTCAACATTGTTCACATTGCACTGAGGATTCCTATGAATGCACGTGTGGGTTTGTGTACATTTCAGAGTCCGTTCATCTGAAGCTGAACCGCTATTGGGACGAGTCTTCCGTGGGTCTCGGGCCCTCTAGCCTCAAGCTTCTCTTTAGTATGAAGGTAAAATAAACCTTAATAGGGCTGGAAGGTTTTATTGCTAGCGAAATCTTTCAGTTTTCCTTGTTTTTTGATTGAGAATGTCAAAATGGAGCACAGTATGGACCGTGGCTCTAAACTCCACTTTCATTTTGTGGTGCATCTTTGAACTGTGGAACTAAAGGCTTCACTTCCCAACTCAAAGCTGTGTCAAGGGCTACAGTGCGTTGCGCACTCGAGTAAGGTTAAGAACAAAATTGTTCTGCAGCACGTAATTGTAATTTCCTTGGTCCCTCTGCTATGTCTCTGCCCGTGAAGTCCAACTTATACTGCTTGCTGTGATGGTGGGACAACACTGCTGCACTGCTCTTGAATTCAGAGCAGCGTTGTCCCCTCATGATGGCTGTACCAGCTTGCACTATAGTGGAATTAGAAGACATTGCAGGGAGCCTGGTAATCAGCATTGTCGCCTGTAGCTTGTCAGTCAGCACCTGGCCATACCAAGTCCCTCTAACTGCTAAATGAATTGACAGTGCCTGTGGTGCTCAACCCTTCCCACAATGATCTGCAGTGCCTGGGAGGGGAAGCGTGTGAGATACAAATGAAAGGTTGAATCAAGGCAGATTAAAGATTTTTTTAAAATTTTAATTTGAGGCCCTTGCATCACATAGTACCTGGATTTCATGACCAGTTTAGATGTCCACACTGGAACCTTTTGCGTAGTCATCTATTCTTCAACCTCCTCCCCCAAAGACTTCTACTCATGTCTACCACATTCATAGGGAGCCACAGAGCTGCCACTGCAATATCTCTGACCACATCTCATTTATTCATATGGAGAGGCCCTTTTATGATTCATCCCAATGGTAAATGCCCTTTCTGTTGTAATGAATGGGAGAGTTTGCAAAAAAGGCTGAGCAGCTTCTAGTGGACCAAGCAGCGGGCATCTGGAAAGAGCGTGGGCTAGCGGTCATAAGACTGTGGGGCATCTGGGGGTAGAAAGAGGGTACGTTATCCTTTAAGCACTAGTGATGCACCGATACTAGTATTGGTATTGTTGCCGATATAGAGTATTTGGGTGAGTACTCGTACTCACTCAAATGCTCCCGATGCTTATCCCAATACCGGAACTTCCGGTATCGGGAAGCCGGCTCCATGCTCCCTTGTTACCATGGAGCTGTTTTCCCGTCATTTCAGGAAGCCGGGGGGCGGTTAATGACTCTTCCCGCCGGCTTCCTGATTGGCCAGGAAGCCGCCCCCATGCTTCCTCATCACTTGGTTACCTGCCCCCTGGCTTCTTCTTCTTTTTTTTTTTTTTTTTTTTTTTCAAACTTCAACTTTTTTGAGAGAAAAAACAATACACGGG